TGAGGATAGTCCGTGGATTGGTGGTCCGAGGGCACCTCTTCCTGCAGGGCCAGCCCTGGAAGACCATGGCGTTGTCCCACATCCATGGCTGGCACTGCCCCGCCCGCCTTGGGCAGCCTGTCTCCACACCACGTCTGACCTCCCCTCCGCCACCCTGCCTTCCCAGCTCGTCCCATGGGTCCGCCAGTGGGGGACTAAGCCACGCTGAGGGTTTTTGAGATCTGCCCCCAATGGTCGGATCACCCAGAGCATTCGAGCACACCAGCTCTCCCAGAGGTGGTCTGTACAGGAGAACCCAACTCTGCTGCAGCCCAGGGTGTCATCCAGGCGGTAACCCGGGCTCCCTTAGTCACAGTCCTGCTCTGTGTCCACGGCTCCCACATGGGTGAGCGCACCAGGGCAGGTGCCACAGTGAGGGACGCCGGGCACTGTGACGTTTATTTTCACCCCAGGGCCACTGTCCCCAGAAGCACGCCTGGAGACAAGATGCTGTAATATAAAAATAGACGTTCACGGGTCAGCAGGCGCACAGTGATTAAGACGCCCAACTCCCCCGTGGCCAGCTGCTGTTTGGGTTCTGGACTCGGTGGTTTGAGACTCATGCCAGGCACATGTGCACGTGTGCCCAAAATCCTAAGAGAAAAATGGAGGAGAAGGGACTGCAGCGTGGCCATCCCCCTGGGGGGTGATTTCTCACTTTCTGTCTCTCTGTCTCTGTCTCTCCAGTGAGCACCTCACAACAAAAAATCTCAACAACAACAGAAAAATTCCTAATAGAGAGTCGCAGAGTTTTAACACTCTCAGTGTCTCCTCCCGGTCACGTTCACACAGCTAGCCCGTGGAACGCATTCTGAGCTGCTCGTTCCGGACGCCTCATCCAAAGCGTTGCTCAGTCAGCCCAGGTCGGGAAACATCCCCAGAGTAAGGTGCTCCCTACCGAGGTTGAGGTCAAGGTCAGGAGGAAGGCTCAGATGCCCAGGGGAGGGCAGTGACCACCCTGAGCCCCAATGAGGTTACCCAGCCAGCCAGGGTCAGAGACTCAGACAGGCTGAGTCAGGCCCAGAAGGCCCAGCGGCTAAGCCTCTGCTGTTCCTGTGGAGACTGGACAGTCCCACAGCACGAGGCAAATACCACCTCCTCCACCAGCTTCCAGCAGAGGGAAGGCCGGCGGCCGTCCAGCGAGCTCCGTGGCCTCCCTGCCTAGTGGGCCGGCAGGCGGGCAAACGCTGGTGGCCCTGGCGGTCAGTACCTGCTGCTCGAGCAGCACCTGCTCGAGGTAGACAGCCTTGTCTTCCCGAGAGACCACAGCGTGACTTGGAGCCCTGGCCAGGTGGCAGCTCGCAGCCTCCGTCACCGGCTTGCGGGTCCCATCGAGACACAGCAGTTCAAAGTCCTCCAGCTTCAAGTCCTTCGCCCACTCTTCAGGGTTATTTCCTGGGGACAGAGAGGAGGCAGCGTCAGCTCCAGCCGCCCTGCCTTTCCTGGGTGGGTGTGACCCTCAAAGTGTGTCCCCAGGAGCTGTGGTGTGAGGGGGAGAGAAGGGGCTTTGTCCTGCACCAGCTGTACGAACTTCAAATCCTCTAGACACCAGAGCTGTGTCCCCGGGTCGTACTCTTCAACAGGAAACGGGAGCGACTCGGGCCAGCAGGTGGGTGGTTCAGGTGCTGGATCCCACAGAGGAAGCTCCACGCACAGTTCAGTCTAGGCCCGGCAGATTGAGAAACACACTGAGCGTGCGTGTGTGTGTGTGTGTGTGTGTGTGCATGCCAATCTAAAATCCCAAGAGGAGAATGAAGGAGAAGGAATATGCCGGCCATCCTCCCAGGGGGTGATACCTCACTCCCCCTCTCTCTGTCTCTGTCTCCAACAAGTGCACATTCATGCTCTATAGCAAAGATCTAGAACAATCACATAAAAAAGATAAGGAAGAAAGGGGAATGCTGTCCTGGCCCCATCGCAACGTGGACGAGCCTGGAAAGCATGCTGCTGGGTGACCAGGACACGTGTAGGTGACCACGGCGGGCAGATCTGTGGAGACAGACGGCTCCAGACTGAGGGGGGTGCTGACGGGCTGGGCGGGCCCAGGGCTGACCATGCCAGAGACCCCAGCCTCTCTGAGTGAGCTGGGGCGCGCTGAGGTGCTCGCGGCGGACGGGGCGGGCGGGGGAGGTGTGCGCCTGTGAGTTACATCTCAACAAAGCTGTTAGAAGTTCCTCTTTAATTTAAAACCAACAAATAAAACCCTCCACCTACATCATATTCTCCAGTGAGTTCCAAAAAAAAGAAGAAGAAGAAAGAAAGAAAGAAAAAGAAAAGAAAAGAAAACTGGTTTAGGTTTCAGGAGAAAGTGTTCTCTGCTTCCTTCCATACTCGAATACTCTTACTTGTAACCAGAGAAAGGCAGGATAAGCCCTGCCTATGGGCTTATCAAGTATATTTAGCCAATTCCAATACAATGCAGTTGGACAGGAGCAGAAGGCCCTGACATCGAACTTGCATCCACCTAGCCCTGGAAGCACCTCGCCTGAGGGCCGCAGACCTAAACGGGCGGAGGGCGTGTCGGCGTGCTGCCCACACGGAGCCCTGCCCAGGCCCGCCGGCCTCTCATCCCACCGCTCCCCGTAAGAAGTCAGCCCGTCCACGGTCTCCACTACTGAGACCATGCCAGATGCACAAGGAGGGCTTATCCCCCTCCAGAGAGGATGACGAGGCAGGGGAGGGAGAAGCTGCAGCGTCTGGAGGGCAGCTGATGGGGGCGGCAGGGGGCGAGGCTGCTGGTGCCCAGGGAAGGAAATGGCAGGTCCTCTGCTGAGGCTGAGGGCTGAGCAGGCTGGCGGCCTGAGCAGAGACGCGCTCGGGAAGGCAGGAAATGGCAGAGGAGTCTCTAACTCGGTCCTGTTTTAAAGCACCTTTCTATCCGTGTGCTGGGAGACCGCTTCTTGCTCACCCCGGCAGAAGAGTGACGGTTTATTCCCTGGGGAGGCTGAACCTGAATGAATCTCTGGACTAGAGAGTCAAGCACAGCTGAGAGCAGAGGTTCGGCTCTGAAAACAGAGTGGACAAGTAAGAGTATAACCTGGGGGCAGCAGGTGCGTGGTGGTTAGAGCACTGGGCTGCCACATGGCCGGCAGTGGTCTGAGCTCCAGACCTGGTGGCTTAATTTCTCACTTCCTCTCCCCTCCCTATCTCTCTCTGGTGAGTGCATGTGCCCTATACCAAAATTTAAAAAATAATTTAAAAATTAAATAATTCTTTAAAAACAAAACAAATCAAAAAAACCCTATAACCTAGAAGGTGAAAGCACAGCCCCCTCCCCTATGCATATTCTAGAAGGCTGGATCCAGGGCATGCCTTCAGAGAAGCAGACATTAGGATTCTTTCTCTGGGGAATCAGGTTAAAAGAAAAATACCTATTGCTTCTTATATTCGGGGAAATATAAAGTGTTCAAACGCTGGCTGGTAGATTGTCTTCCATCATCTGCATCCACCTGTGGTTTCTGCCCTCACTTGCCCCAAGTAGATTCCAGACCCAGGGTTCACACTGGGCTGAATGAAGGTCACTACTGCCTTTTTAAAAAGGAGAATGTATTTGCATACGTTCAGTTTTCTCTCTTGTCCACACTCAATTTCCCACAGGTATGCACACCTTGGTACACGCAGACAGTGTGTCTCTGTGGTCTAGACAAAGCCAGGGCGGCGTCTGCTACTCAATGTGGCTGGAGTGTGTGCACATGCGTGCATGTGTGTGTGTGTGTGAGAGCATGTGTGTGTGCACACGTGTGTTAGAAATGTGGTTTGAAAATCAATGAAATACCCACAAATATTACCATGCTTCCTACTGAGATGAAGAATTTTGGAATTCTTGGGCCAGCAGGTGGGTAAGGTGCTGGACTCCCACATGGCCAACCATGATTTGAGACCCGGACCTGGCAGCTTAGAAGTCATGCGAGGTACATGTGCATGCATGTCTAACATCCTGGGAGAATGGAGGAGAAGGAACTGCAGTGTGGCCATCCCCCATCGGGGCTGATTTCTCACTTTCCCTCTCGCTGTCTCTGTTTCTCTCTGGTGAGCATATGCACTCTATGACAAAAACCTTAAAAAATAAATAAATAAAATCAAAAAGAATTTTTGAATTATTTTAACCAAAACCTGGAAAATAACATAACACCTTCCTGGTTGCAAATCTGAATACTGAGCTGCTGTGATGCCAAAGGTTGTCTTGAAGAACAGAGAGAAGCACGCCACCTACCGTTGGTGTTCTGCAAGACAGTGACATCTTTCAGGAATGCAACTTCTCCAGCCTTCTCAGCCAGGCACCTAGAATGTTCCAGGAAATAAACACATCACTAGAGAAAAGAAACCACTGGCATTTCATAAATATTTATAATACACATTCTGAAAACAGAAACACAGAAGTAAACATGTAAAAGATAAAAATATGTATTTCCAGGAGTTGGTTTACAATGACAGATTGAACACATCTGTGTATATTTCCGCCTTCCAAAATCTCAATAAGGTCAATGAGATTTTTTTTAAAAAACCACAAAACCATC